GTGTGATATCTGTGACTGAGATGGTGCAAGAAGAAACAGAAGAAGAAGGGGAGGGGGGAGTGGCAGAGTGCACAGACATGGAGGTGGGAGGGAGGGGGAAATAAACAAGCAGAGGGAATGGAAATGGAATAAGTAAAAGAGCTTGGGAATTCAAGAGGGAAAAGGAAGAAAATACAGGGCAAAAAAGAAATCTGGTAGCGAGGGAAATTAGTCAGAGTTAGAGCTGGAGAACAGTATCCATCCATGAATGCCCTTGGGCAGCAGCATGAACACCACATGGCCCTGGAGGCTGGCGGGGCACGGCAAGCTCCCGCAGGTGGTGGTGGTGTTGCCGGCAGCAGGAGGATGGTGGCGGCAAGCGAGGAGCTCCCACAGGTGGCCACAGCACTATTGGTGGGGGGGGGTATGGGGTGTGGCAAGCACCGACCTATGTTCAGTGACCACCCGTAGGCACCTTCGGCAGTGTCAGTGGTGCCTTTCCACAGGGGGTGCACCGCCATACTCAGGGGGTTCACATGCACCCACATGCACCCCCTACATGTCGCCAATGGGCGGCCATCAGGAATGAAGACTGAAAGGCAGGAAACAGTGTAGAGGCAGGAAAATAGAAGGCTTCCTGAATGCAAAGGCAATCCAGTAGCTTGTAGAAGCTACAGGTGTGAGAGTGGGGAAGCAGCAGCTATGATGGCCAGGAGCGTGGAGAGCAGCCAGGTCTGGCTGGTAAACCTGTTGTGAGGGAAGAGGCGTGGTGGGGAGCAGATCGAGGCCCCCACAGTGGGGGAGGGCGTGGGCCTGGGGCAGGTCCTGCATAGCCAGGGCGGAGCAGGGGACGGAGCCACAAGAGGCTTGTCTACGAGGCATGGGGAGGCGGGGGCTCCCGGTGCCACGTGCACCCCAGGAGGGCATTGGGGTCATGTGCCCCCAGCTCTGCATGTGGGGCGAGGGTGGGCTGCTGCTGTGGGCTGGGGCCAGGGGCAGCACTGGCTCTTCCCAGCAGGGGGCTGGGCCAGGATGCACTTGAGGTAGCTGGCAGCAGTGCTGGGAGTGGATTATCGAGGGGGGGGCCTACAACCACTCCAAAAATTCACCATGGCCCCCTCTCAGCACTGCCACTGCCTGGTCCGAGCCCAGCCCTCCACCAGGAAGAGCCAGGTGCCGCCCTGGCCCCAGCCCATAGCGGCAGCACACCCTCACCCCACGTGCACATCCAAGGGAACATGCCCCACCATGCCCTCCCGGAGTGTGTGCAGTGGCAGGGGGCACCAGCTGCTCGCAGCTCTGTCCCCTGCTCCACCCCAGCTATGCAGTACTTACTCCTGCCCCTGCCCTAGCCACACTCCCTCCCTCACTGCAGGGGCCTTGATCTGCCCCCCCACACCTCTTCCCTCCTCGCTTGCCCCTTTCCCCCCAACAGACTTACCAGCCGGACACCACTCTCCATGCTACCCAGCTGCATCATATTGGAATTGGATTGGTATTGGCCGATATGGCTTGTTAAAAATCAGCCATTGGTACTGACCCAAAACACACCCATTGTGTGCTTTTTTAATAAAAGTGTGTGTTTAATAAAACGTGTGTTTTTATTAAAATTTTATTAAAAAAAACACACATTGGGTATTGACCCAAAAATTCTCTACTGGTGCACCCCAGTTTTAATATATATTGTATGCTTTTGATCTGTAGTTATTTTTGCAATATTAAGTTTTGGTAAAACAAGGATGCTCAATATGTGAAGCTCTGGAAGTGTAAGGTAATGTGTGTTTTTTAATAAAATTTTGTAAAATAAATAAATAAAAGTTCCCATCAGTATGTTTGTCCCATATGGGCCATGTGTTTTATAGTCATGCTCAGTTTTGTCTGTATTTAAGCAACTTCATAGTTGGTTTCTATTACTGGGCACATGCTGCTTTTGGCAGCAGTTTAATGATAGGTCTCTGTGTACAATGAGGTTTCCATGTATACAGCTGTAAGATGAGGGGCTTTCCCCCCCCATAATGTTCTGGGGAAAAATCCTTGTCTTGTATTCAAGTAAATATTGGTGTGTGTATGTGTACACATGTGCATGTGCGCGCACACACATACGCACGCACGCAGTTAGCTGTAACAGTATAAGCTCTAAAATAGATATAAGAATACTGGGAAATAAATGCTTATACCTGTACAGTTCCCATTCTTTGAGAAGAAATACCAATAGAAGCACTTTCAATATAGAATACTAGCATCTGCATGGGAAAGATCCAGCACCATAAAAACAGTACATCTCTTGTGTGTAGACAAAGTGCTGGTGCTTAATATCTTAAGTTATGCATAAAACACCCTTTTCACACCCACAAGGAGGATAAATACAGTGCATTACTCATGGCTGTCTAATACTGAACTGCAAATAATTGTCGAATTAGAAATGAAGGTAGCTATACAACCCACTTACAAATCTGGTGTATTATACTTGACATTTTCTTGTTCATTTGCAAAATACTGCTGATATGGGGATTGTTCATTTGTTACTGAAAAAGCAATTGGGGTATGGGAGGGAAAAAGAAAAGGGTTTACAAAAAACCCACATAAAATAGCATCAAAAAGCAATGCTAAAACTGAAAGTATAAAGAACCTCTTTATGAAGCTAAATATGTCTACAAACTAACTATTTTAAAAATTCTATTGTTTTTGCATCTTACCTGCATGACAGCATTAAAAAAACACGTATTCCCTAAATTGTTTATTCCTTTAACAGGAATCAATGCACCATTTGCAGAGCCTTTTCCTTTCAATATTTCACTTGCATCACTCTTTTCTTCACGAAGTCGTATGATTTTTGAGGAGGAACCTAAAATTAAACTATACATTAATATAATTGATGTCTGTACAGTTAGATATCTATCATTCAGAGTTTTACCATGAAGTACTGCTTTCTTAAAAATATTATCTATTTGAACAGCTAGATATAAAGTAATTAGTAGCAAACAAGTTAGCTTTTTTATTAAAAAAGAGAGGCTTTAATACTCAATATGTGACTGTTAAACAACACTATGCATGTAAGAAAAAAATAATTTAGCTGGTGCAATGTCTAATTACATCAGTGAATAAAAAATAATTTTAAAATGTTTTTAAAACTGTCTTTAAAATAAACCACATTAAAAAAAAATTTATATTTGAACCTGAAATTATGACAACCTAAATTAAGGCTTAAATTTACCAAAATTAATAGAATTTCTTAATTTCAGCAAAACCTGTGCACATTTGATACCAAAGTTTTTAAAAAGTCAAACCACTGAAAAGGAGGAATTCTCTGCCTAAGCCCTTGGAGCCGGAATTTGTTGAAGTGCTAAACCAGCTTTTAACAGCAGTAGCAACCTCTGTAGCTGCCAAGGAAGTATTTTCTTCATTTCAGTTTATCTTATTAATTCAGTTCACTGTTAGGGAAGCAAGTGAAACTTGTAAACCAATAAGGCATTTTTTCTCTCCTAACTCATGAATAAAAATGATGTAGAAGGGCTGTGATGTACTAGCTCTAAAATACTGAAGGCCAGGAAGATCAGAAACAATCAGTTCAATCCACTAACTACAGACAATACTTTCTTTGTCTAATAAATCAGTTACTTTTCCCTTCACGTATCCCTAATATTGTCTAATAAAGTCTTTCCCTTCATGTATCCCTAATATTTTAGATAGTTTTATTTAAAGTGTTTTGTGCACTTCAATTCCAATTTTCATTCAAATGCAGCTTAATGCAATTTTGGGGTAAAATATCAATAGTATACTATAACATAAAAACTAAAAAATGGAATAAATAAACATGAAGCAATATAGGTGTTTCAATGTGAACAGCCAGAGTATATCTTTCTGTTTAGTAAAAGCAGTACTAAACCATACCTGCCAAGGAAAATAATTACAAAGTATAAGAGCACTTTTTAAATTCAAGATCTCTTGATTGCTGATTTAAGTCATGATTTATATCACCAGTTTAAATCTTTCTGGTTTAAATCAGTACACCATATGAATAATCAAAATAACAGCTGTAAGAATAAGATACTAGTTTGTTAAAGCCATATGTATTTTTATTATATACATGCACAGTCCATAGACTATTAGGGTACTAGTCTCCAACAGAAAGTATTGATATATGTCCAGATTCTCCAAATACTTTTCCACTTAATTAACTTAAAGCACAGGAACCTTCCTACTCACTTCAGTGGGCCTACTAATGTGTAAGCAGATGTACAAGTATTTGTAGATCGTAGCTGTTACCCTGTACTCTATTTTCAGCCAATTCAATCCATCCACAGGTTTGATTTATTATTCATTTTTGCACGTTGTGCACGTATTTAACTTCTTTTGCACTTTTACACATTGGTGTGCCCAGTTGGTTCCATTTTCCAAATTGGTTTTATTAACTGAGGTTGTACAAAGGTCCAAGATGATATTTTGGATTTCTGATGAGCACGGATACTGGCTTTCTCTGTTTAAAAATCACAAATTCTGTGATAAAAACAAAGGTTCTCTGATTAAAAACCCCCAAATCCATGATTAAAATGAAACACCAGTATGTGTGTATTCAAATGTGGGTGCATTACATAGACACTAAAAAGGCCACATGGTAGTAACTACTCAGCTTTTTTAGAGCATTTGAAGGCAGACAAGCAAAAACTTCCACCTGAGTATTGCTAGTCTCTATAAATTATTGTACTTTGTTCAAACTGGCTTGTAACAACCCATTCAACAGCTGGATATGAGTTGTCATCTGTTTTCCCAGATGACATGTCTACGCCCTCCTTTCACTTCCCAATGCAGCAGAGGATCTGTTAAGCAAAACCCAGATGTATAAGATACTATTTGTTTTAACGTAACAAAAAAGACACAAAAGCTTTAATAACCATAATGGAGTATGCTACCAGTGCAGCGTTCTTGTATTTTCCTGTTTGCCTTATTACTTAAATAGAGAAGGGGCAGTAAAGTTAGATAGTCATTAACTTGTAGCCTAGAGGAAATGGAAAGACTTGAGATACACTATTTTAGCCTAGAATTGTACTAGCAACTTTCATATTGTCACAATTGCTGTACTAAATATGAGCATTACTGACATCTGCAGTGTTTTAAGTATTGATTAACAATGCATGTCAATGTAAACGAGTTATGGACTTAATAGATGCCAAGAACTGCGATGCTGCAATCTACATCTTGACATATGAGTTCATATATTTGTCTTAATGAGTTATACGGTGAAATCTCATTAAAGTGTTCTTGAGAAATAACTAACAGACCTATTTATGTTAATGAAATGTTCATGCCAAAAGGTTGTTTTATGTACACTCCTTGGTACTTTCTTGCTTACAAGATGGAAAAATATAATTACATTTCAAGTAGAGGCAATTTAAAACATATATTGTGGCTGACAACAAGCCTTTGACGCTATTTGTATGCTCCCCATAACTCTATGAAGGCAAAATTATTTTTCAAGAAATATCTGAGTGGGACTAAATGCAGTTAGAGGCACCTGCCATTTGAAAATATTTCTTAAAATACTCTCAAAGATACAGTCTGCAAGCTTGAAACATTCTGTATTTCAGCAGTGTAGAAACTTCAGACAGTACAAGAATACAGCAAAAAGCACTTTTAAAAATACAGCAAAAAAGACAAATGGTTTTGGAGTCCATCATAACTAAAATTGACTCTCACAAATAAGCTACACTTGCAGCAATACCTTCTCAATGACATACTTACAAAATACATACCACAGTGTTTGATACTGCTTCATACATATAAAATATCCTAAAGCAAAAAAAAAAATCTTGACAAGAGAAAAATATCTTCAAATACCTCGCAAATTGAAGGCATTGTTCAGTTTTGAAAAGTTAGTATAATCATTGTATCCCACCCCCACCCACTTATAAAAGTATACCGTATGTAAAAAGAAGCGATGGCTAAATAGAAAAAAGCCAAAACTGTGTAAGTAATTTGTGTATCGGTATACCACAGTTGTTGCATTTATCCATCGGCATTCAAAAACATCTGGGACAGCATCTTAAAGTAAACAATGTTCACAAGGCCATCTGGACAAAACTGCAGGCAAAAATTAAAGCATAAGCATATGGAAAAGCAGATTTTTCTCTTCCCTTTAGCAGTACAGGACGACAAATGTCAAACCTAGATCTGTCCACGCTTCACTGTGCTATGCTTTGCAGCACCACCTGGCTCTCCTTGCACAGCCACCAAATATGGACAGCACTGCCACAGCAGACCATATCTGCAGGGCAAACTCAATGAAAGATTTCACTTCATGGTTAAATGGCAGCTTCACACAAGTAGCAAGGTTCTGCTGAAACTCATGTATACATTTTTTAAAAGGCAGAAACAAAACAAAAGTGGCCAGTTTTGTTTTAGGCCACAAACGCGTAAAGATAAAATACAGTGAAAGAAAATTATGCAGGTGACTATCATATATTTACAGGGGTTACAAATGTAACCAATAAATGAATAAAAGTGGCATGTGTTTCACTACTGATCTATCCAAAAAAAACCCTCTATTTTCTCCTGAGATATTTTAAATACTTTTTCATTTGTATTGATTTCTCAATGACATTTTATTTAAAAAACAAACCAAACTTTTATTGAAAAAAAATCTCAACACACCTGTAGACTTACCACACTTTCAATACAGGCATCACCCCTAATCTAATTCATTTTCTGTGGCTATGACAGCATGGTTTTACACTACAGAATCTACAGCTTAAAAGGTTCAGTGATTAATACTTCAGTACTTGAGAGTCCCAAGGTCAGCAATAAATGGGAGTTAGACGCTGCTAGGCTGGTAAGACCAGATATGTTTGGTGGGCACATGAAGAGCTGGTCAGTCAGCCTCCAGCCAACTTAATGTGACACTGGTAAGGACTGAGAGAGCTGACAGTTAACAGTTCTATAGACTTGAGTTAGGGGGCTCTACTGAAAAATAACCCAAGGCTAAATGTACAATAGATCCTTCCCATTCAAAAAGGTACTTGAGTACAAAAGCTGTTTTATAAACTATCCTTGTTCCAATGTGACAAATATTAAAATTCATCTTTTAGGAAAGAAAAGTAACTAAATCTTGCAGATTCTTTCTGTACAACATCTTTGAGATACAGGCTTTCCTAACCACCCACTTAGCTAAAACTCTCATCCAGTTTCTCATAGGCTGTAAATAGATGTCTCTTTTGATGAGGGCCTGATTCTCTGGGATTTGACCTGGACCAAAACAGGCACAGCCCAGTCATTTACACAAGCTGCCCTTCCAAGATGCATAGCTACTCCTCCATCAGAAGAGCACACAGCCTGACCAGCTCGTCCCAGGAAAAAGCACAGTGACATTACAGACACATACAGTGATGTCCCAGGAAACGGCATTAGCATATATTATACCTCATACTTTAGAGGGACTTGAAGCAGGACAGTGGACTTTTATGCCTGTAGGATGCCAGGACATCAGGACAAAAGGTTTTCTTCTGGGGCAACCATGACATCTGTTGATTTCCCTAATCCCACATCTCAACTAGTGCAACATCCTTTTCTCTCACCTTGAAAAACGCTGTCTTGTCCCACTACTATCCATCCAGAAAGCTGTTGTAAAGAGTTTTCCTAGCCTGTCATTTTGACCCTCTCTCTCATTCCCCTCTTTGCCTATCACCCATCTCATTCAGATTGGAGATCAACATGCATCCCATACCAACTTAAAATCATCACTTCCAAACAAGCTCATTCCTTCCTTCTCCCATGCTGTCCTTCACATTCTGAAGAAGCTTTTGTCAAGTTCCATAAAACTCTATCACCCTCTCTCCACATCCCCGATTAAAA